CTCTTCTCCCCTTTCTACCCCACCACCCTCCCCTCCCTATCCGATCTCACCCCCCACAATCCTTCCTGATCCCATGTCCTTCCATCCCTCTCCACTCCCCCTCACCCCATCCCACAGCTCCCCATCCCTCCCCACGGCGCTCCCCTGACCTGATGACTCCATCTAGGGACCCCACGCACACGATGCTGTCTGTGATGGGCACCATGCAGTCAATGGTCTCTGCCCTGAGCGCAAAGCGGTCGCTGGCGGCCCCGAAGCCGTCCCAGTTGAAGAGGTAGATGGTGCCTTCACTGGAGCCACACGCCACCTTCCTCCCCCTCTAGGCACGAGAGAGGGCAGTGAGGCAGAGGCAGAACAAAAAACTGGAGCAAGGACAGAGGGCAATGGGATCCTGCTCCACGTCGGGGAGCAGTGCCAACCTTCATCAGCACCACAGACGTCAGGTCCCCGTTCTGCGGCTCCGAGAGCAGCTCAAAGCGCCGTCTCTTCACGTTGAAGACGCCCAGGGTGCCATCACCACTGTGGGAAGGGACACGTGAGCACACAGCACTCCAGCCACGAACAGACACAGGGAGCCCGAGACCACGAAACCCCTCCGGTACCTGGCTGTCAGTAGGATCTTCCCGTTGCCATCCACAGTCATGGCACTGATGTATTCCTCCTGCTGCCGTGCCTCCAGGATGGCGCTGCCCTTGCGCAGGTCCCACACCTTCACTGCCCCGCCTTCGTCACCCGTGGCAAAGACGTGGTTGTCGATGGGCAGCACGCAGTTGAGGGCCGACCTGCAGAGACCCCGGCCCCACACCCCCGCGGTCACTCGGGCTCTCCCTGCCCGGCCCAGGGCTGTGTGGCCCTGTCGCGGGAGGGAAGGGGACAATGCCCCAGCCGTTCTGCCCAGAATGAGCCGTCTGTACGGACTTACTCGTGGGCCTTGGGGAAGCGCGTTTCCAGCCGTCCCTCCTCCGCTGTCAGGATGTGGATGGACTTATCCTTGGACACGGTGAAAAGCTCTGGAGAGCCGCGTTAGT